GCCTGTTCTCCACGAATTAATTTAGCTTGTCCCGCTTCAACAACTGGTGGAGAACGGGCTGACGTGGCGCCAAACCCAGCACTCCCCCCCCCTCTTCCTCCCTGCCCAGCGTCCTCATCGAACAAGACTGTACATACGTTTTGGCGCTCTGTGCTGCCCTATCCATCAACGGCTGCCCGCCCCCTATTTATATCGGCTGGTGGAAACGAGCAGGCACCCCTCCAGAACACGCAGGAACGCCCCCCCCCTCCACCCAAGGTTTCCTTAAAGAGCATGACAGATCGACAAGGCTTGCAGGGTGGATACGTTACGGGTTGCCGTCCATTTATGAAGTGCAATTGATATGAAGCATTGCTAGGCCGCGTTCATACACGCGGTTTCCTCAGTTTCCTCGGAATCCGCAGACTCCGCAGAATGTGCGGAATCTGAGGAAAAAGGATGTATGCCTATAGATTTGGAAATTCCGCAGATTTTGCGGATTCCTCAAACTCTGCGGAATCTGCAGAATTATGGAATGGATATATGAGAACACAGTTGCAGCATACCTATCAAAGCGGTAGTTGCCACGATGCCAACGGGAAACTCGTCCAAAAATGCTCGTCCAATGCCGTGTAGAAAAAAATAAGCTTTTTCCGTCTTCGGCCGTTTAACCTCGCGCTTTCGCCGTTTTCGATGTCCAGCAATATAGCACTATTTTTGAGCAAGTAACAGGTTATCGTGCCTTATGCCTTTTGATACTATTTAGATTTTGAATGGAAGCAAAATGTGTGGCGTACACCGGAAAAGGGTTTGAAGACACCTCTGTCTTTACCTTCATGTAAGTGCGAACCACTCTGAGAGACTATCCATAAAGCGAATGCCGTGGCTCAATATACCTTCGGTAGAAGGGAACGCGTGTCGTATCAAACAAGTATAAGCTCCTCTTTACCTAAGATGTGACAATTTGTGGTTTTGCCCCGATAAAAGTTTTGATTAGGCTATTAGTAACCGTAAAAGGTCTAATAAAGCGCTGACCGTTTTCAGAAACAAGTTTACCCCTTTGAAAATTCGCAGAGTGTTCATGCACTGTTCTCTGGACAGCATTGAATAAAAGCACGTCTTTCTCAGGATCAGAATTGCATTTCGCCCTTACACCAAAAAGTGAGGCGGAGGTGGTGTAGTGACAAGTGGCGCGCTTACCACTCGCGCGGTCCTGGGTTCGAATCCCAGGTCGACACCCGCCCAGGCCAACCAAGCCTTCTACCCTCCGGGGACGGTAAATTGGTACCAGATTCGTCTGGGAGGATAAAACACTGACTTGTACATCGGCTGGCCACCGCAAGTCATTGTATAGGCCACATCGCATTCATAAGCCACTACGATTCTGAATGGAAGTAGAATGCGTGCCGCATCCCACAAAGGGATTGATTAACGGCGAAGACTTTATCCTTTATCCTTTTACCAAAAAGTACCTCAGGTGCCAGCTATGCTCATGCTGGCCCTCCGATCTTGCACCTGTCTGAAGCAAACGCAATTTTACATGCACTGACAGAAAACAAAACTTAATTAAATGGAGTCTGAGCCGTTTCGGAAAGATTTGACTTGTTGATGTTCTCCCATCATATTTCATAGAATAGATGTTCAAGCCCATCAAAATCGCCAAGGACTATCCGGACAACCTAATGACTCGCACAAAAAGAGGATCCGGTAGAGCAAGTATTCACAAAAAAATCAGTAAAACGAACTCACTTCAGGAATGACTGGCAGGGCGGATACAAAGGTTTGACCAAGGAAATGAGCCTTCTGTGAAGGATCGAACATCTGCGAGATGTCATCAAGTTGGCGAAGCGCCGAAAGAGCTGGATCGTCGAAGTGCTTGATCTGGAAAGTAAAAAATGAGGAATCAGAGTCCGAGTACTAAGTTCCGAGGGACATCCTTTCAAGGACTTATCCCTGCGGATTACTGGTGACGATCCGTTTCAGTTTGTTTCAGCTTCAAGAACAGGAGAAGATCGCCTTGCATAAATGTTCTCATTAGGCTGTAGTAAACTTTTCAGCACTTCTGTGCCACTAGAGGGAAGGACATGAAGCAGGTAAGTAGAGAAAAATCGGAGTAGTTGGCTTGGTGGGGGCACCAGAGTGTTTTCTGCGGAGCTTGTAAAGGCCACCTTGTCAATTGCATGAACTTTGTAACCAAAGTGGCTCAATTGTACTATTTCGCAGCTTCGCCCGAATACCTGTTAGTCAGCATGAGCTGGTAAAATAACTAACGAAAGCGCAAAGTACCCCTCCCGGGTTGAACAGCCCCGAAGAATCAAATGAGAGCAGGAAATATGAAAAAAAGAGATAGTCACAGGTATCGTTCTCGATGCAACTTTAGATGAAAGTACCACCCGCAAGGAACGAAAAAAGGAATAAAAATCGCAGGTTTCACAGCTTATAGGTGTTTTAAAGTGATCTATAGAATTCCCTATATGTGCTAATCCAAAGTCTGTTACTGTCTGACAGAAAACAAGAGCTTGTTAATGCAAGTGTATTTGGTAATGCCCCCTCAAAAGTTGAGCAATGACTCACCAAAGATAGTAGTTGCACAGTCGGTCGAACTTCCACTTCCAAACTGAGCACCTTTCCCATCGATTCCCTCAAATTCGAACCCAACTCTTCGGATATGCAATTCAAAGCCTCGTTTAACTGAACGATCTTAGTTTTGTTTTTACAATACTTTGTAACAAGCAGCCCTTTGTCTACTTGTGTCACCTAATGCACTGAGAAAATGAAATTAGGTGGATGAATAGATAGCTCGAGTTGATCAATTACGCCACATATTCGACTTTTATTCGGAGTCGTAATGTTAGCTTAATTGGCTTCAGATTAAACTAAGTACGATTGAGTATCTTCGTCCTCACAGGTGAATCTGGTCTATCTGTTCCGCCATAAGCAGCTCTGAGGGTATGGTAGGTTCCGTTCGCCTGGACGGGATGGATCCAGAACTGGATGCGCGCAACAAGCATGTTGCAGGAACGCCAAGTTGAGTATCCTGGTCGCAGGCTACCAGTTGATGCTACGACTGAAGTCCTGGTTATCTCCTGCGGTGACCGAAGCAATCACCCAAGCATAGGCACATGACTGCGGAAAGCAGAGGGTTGCTGTGCAACTCTCGTGACCACGGGAGGCACAGTGTGTGTTTCGGCCGTTGGGGCGCATCCCAGGCAAAAGCATGTTCTCTCTTAGCAAGGGTTTTTTTGGCATACGGTTCCCACACTTCGTCCGTCACTACGCCCCGCTATCACGCACTACTTATGTTGTTATCAAAGTGCCACGAAATTGCCACGGATAGGAGTTAAACATCTCTAATATTCATAACAATTTGAGGCGCTGTCGCCAGCTAGCCGGTATTGCGTTAAGCTGAAGAGAATTAACAATCAAAAAAATTCTTCAGAGACCAGGTAGAGTTTGATTGGAAAGTATTAAGATACGGAATTATCCATTGGCTAATTTCTGCTAGCCATCTAACGGATGAAAACGCAATTAAAAAGTCACTACGATGAACAGAGTAGGGTGCGCTGCAGAATGAAGTGATCAAGGCCAGAGATTCTATCATATACCTAAGTTTTTTGGCAGACGCAGCAGAACCTTCTGTGAACTCAAAATAATTGTAAAAAATAAAAAGAGAACAATGAATAAGCGGATGAGCATAGAGAAAAGAAAAAACAACCATCGAGGTTGGCACACACCTGACCACATATGATGGCATGAGTTTCCAAGTTGTTTTTGGCATCAATCAGTCGTTTCCCTCCTGTAAACTGATGACCATTAGAAATCTATATGTGTAATCCTACCAAAAAAATCGAGTGCTTGCAAAGCTCTTGACACATTCCGTTTCAAAAGTCGAGTATTCAAAAATGATACACCCAAAAAGTTTTTGAGTGTAAATGTCCCCAAAATTCGACGATTTTTGAATAGTTGGAGGAAAAGTAATTGAGAAAGCAGTGTCAAAGCATAAACGAGAAAGGAAAGGAAACATAAAAACATGAGAAAAACAAGAACCCCGAACAAGTTAAGAAACGAGAAGTAAGTCCGAAGTTTTTTTTTCGCGGGGGGGGCGAACCGCTATTTCCTTCGAGACCCCGAAAAATAAATTTTCCTCGAATTTCTATAGTACAGCTCACTCTTAGCAACGTTCATATGTGGTTTGCGATACGGCAATCTCACCTCGTGAAGCGCAAGACTGTCTGATCCCAGTTGCGGATTTCTCTAAGTATCATGGAATTGAAAACTCTAAACGCAGTCTTAATAGCTTAGATACTCCCACGAACATGTTTTGAAGAGGTCAGATCCGAAATAAATACAGTTAAGAGGGAAGGAGAATATCGGAGACCCCAGCAGAGAGTTCAAATGAACTTACCGGCATAGATCCAGCAATATGAGCACACCGAGCGAGAAAACGTCTGCAGCCGATGTGACGGTTTGTTGATTCGGCGCCAGGTATTCTGGAGCAAGGAAATCAAGATCCGGTTGCAGGATTGGAGGTAATTTCTTCGTCCATGGATAGCATGGGTAGCAGTCCTGAAGCTCTTTCATTTTGAGGACAACAAAACAGCAGTGCAACGTCATTGAGAGAAAACATCGGTGGCTTGCTGAGCTATGAATTAGACCAAAGCAATTACTTGAGCGGGTAGTATAGAAAACAGCAGAATAGCAGAAAGTGCTTAGTAATTCAGCCTAATCCTTCCAAAGAAGAGCA